TCACTGATTGGCACATCAAAGACAGCCCAATCCGACACCTAGTGCAGTATCATAATCGAGTCTAGGGGTCAGGTGTAACATTCCAGTTTTGCCCATCTATCTCCAAGGTCCAGGGCAATACTGGAATTTTGGTCCGGTTCAGGGTTTCAAGAAAACCCACATTGCATGTACCTCAAGTCTCACCTTGGCAGCTGAGACAAGCCACCCCAACCAACTTGGCAGTACACTAGTGTTAGCCTTGGCAGGATAAATCTCCCTAGATCTATCCAATGGCTGTGAAGGTTCTAAACTAACACGAGTCTCATATATGTCCAGTTTAAGGGTATTACACAGAAACACACTATAATAACATGAATCAAATATGTACTTTATTCATTTACAATAAATGTCATAATGTCATAATGTACATCATGCTAAGGGCATACACTGTCTAATAGTTGACACATGGGAATTGTTTTGTTTTGTTACAGGGAATTGGTTGCATTTCTGTTCAATCTAGCATCTGTTGCTAAAGTGGAGTCCTTTGGGAGGGCTGGATTAATGGCTCTTTCTGTTTGCATTGCTTCAGCTGCTTGCGGAGCTGAGGCACCTTGTGAAAGGGAAGCACAGTTGTGTGAAAATGATTCCTTTAATACAGTGCAAGTGGATTCAGATTCTTCTGAAGAATGTGTGCTCAGCAATTGCAAGGCAGACTTATTAGATGCTCTGAGGCTTATTATTGAAGGCGGCAAACAACATTTTAATCCTAATTATCGTCTTCGAGGTCTCTGATATATGAGCTGGTTAGATTTTGTTTTCTTTTTAATTGAACTGTTGTATTGCAGTAGTTTATTGCTTAGAGTAAAATTGACTTGAATTCTGGTATTTGTCATGGTGCTCAGTTTGTGAGAAAGTACTAGAGGTTGCTTGTTCCATGATGTGTCCCTCTGATGTGCCTCTTGAGATACTCATGCATTTTTTATCTTCACTGCCACGAGAGTTCACGGATTTTGGTGGTAAGTGAGAACTGGGCAATTCAATCTATGTTTATGTTTTTGACTTTCCATGAATTCCATTTTCTCTTCATTCTTCTTTTCTTTTCTTTAACTTTGTAATTCATACTATCTATTCAGTGAATTTACATGTTTCTAAGATCCTATTGCAGCTTATGTGGTTGGATGTGTATCTGGACTTTGCTTGTTGTAACTTTTCTCTTTGATTAGTAACAATCAAAGATTTATTGACTATTGTGTAAAGAATGATATGCAAGTAAAATTGTGCAATACACCCCTCAGTTTGGATTGGAGCAGTGGGCATCCCAGTTCATTCATGCTGTTTGCTCATATTTAGGGAGATTGAAAATTGATGTGGAAATTTCTTGAAATTTGATGGTAGGAGCAGAACTTGGGATGTGGTGGACGTGGTGAAATTACCGGTGGAGGTCTGGGTTTAGCCAACCATACATTTAATGACGTATAGATGGGAGTGAAGGCTTTGTTTAAAAAAAGGAAATTTGAAGCAAGACTGCATCACTGTACATGTGTACATAGATTGCAATGGTGGGAAGAATAATAGTAGTTGGTCCAAGCTGATGAAGCTGAGGTGCTCGAGGAAAAGTCCAATGAAGAAGAGGAGTTCAGGGAGGCAATAGCATCAAGGGAAAAAGATCCAGGTTTTGTGGTTTGATCAGAGAAGGTGGGATTCATGATGGATTTCTACCAATATGTCTTTAGGGCGAGATTTTAGTGAAGATCAGTTTTAGGAAGAGATATAGAGGAGGCAATCAAGGGAGGTAAATCAAACGGGGAAGTTTCAAGAAGAGTTACAGAAGGATGAGTGTGGTGAGATTCTTGAGAAACTAGTGATTGGGGAGGAAGGAAAGAATGACATGGCAGAAGAATTCTTGGGGCTGTGCTGTACAAGGTGGGGTTGAGTTGGATGGAGTAATAGAGATTGAAAAGGGGGAGAGGAAAGGATAAATAATGGGTTGCCAAAAGGAACATTTGCGCAATTTAACAAAAGGAAAAAGAAGCATAAAACGGGACTGAATGGTGAGGGGAAAAAGAATCAGGCATACTGCTAGAACCTGAAATTGATGAAGAACAGGAGGTCCATATGATATTGGACAATACCCATACATTAAACAGGTCAATCAATTTGGATGTTATAGTGGCTAAAGAAGTTGAGGTTAGCAAAACTTTGTGTGGGTGTGGGGGGGGGGGTGGAATTTGCTAACAAGGCATTCAAAGGGTTAGAAGAAAGAAACTTCGAAATAAAATGGACAAGGTTGAAGGGGACATTATCTCATTTACTATTCTCCTGTCCTTTTGTGCTTAGAATTTGGGAATTTTTTTGTTCTCATTTTGATTGCAGGTGTGTCCCATCCCAAGATGTGGAGGGTCTCTCCAACCCTAACTTCTTGAGGCAACCAAAGAAAGGGGGAAAATGCTTTGGAAAGGCAGAAATTTACTGGGTAGTGTGGGAAGAGAGGACTAGCAGAATCTTCTTGGGAAAGAGCTGGAATCTAGAAGAGTTATTAGACGGTATAAAAATAAAGATTGCATTGTTGGTAAAGACTTTGGATATTTTCAAAATATTCTCAGCAACTGAGTTTTTCAGGGCATGGACTGAAGTAGCACATTCATCAAGAGTAAAGGACAAAATCAAGATGGATTGGAAATGCCCAAAAGGCAACAAAGTGAAATTGAAATTTGATGGGAGCTCTCTTGGTAACCTGGGTGTGTTTGGAATAGGAGGGATTATTATAAACTTAGAGAGGAGGATATTGACTATCTTCTCAGGACCAGTTGGGTTTGGAAATTCCTTGAAGACTGAACTGTTGGCTTTATTGCAAGGTCTCAGGTTAGCTAAGCAGTTGGGATTTAGGATGATTGAGGTGGAAGGAGACTCATAAGTAGTCATTAACCTAGACTAAATCCAATAGGCACATATTCCTTGTTCCCTTCAATATGTACCAAGGGAAGTGGAAACAATTGCAAAAGAAATAGTAGTCAAATTAGATGTGCAAATGGTTTAGCTAGCTCTCTAGCTAAACAAGGGGCTATGAGGCAATGACTGTTTTGGGCATCCATGTGATTTGGATTGGCAAAGTGGGTCAACACTTTGATTAAAAATCTGTACTAATCATTTCTTCATTCCAAATTTTAATAAAATCATTTTTCTACTGATAAAAAAAGGTTGAAGGGACTTGTTTTGGTCAGTTGGTTGTAGGCTTGGCTGAGAAAAGAAAGAAAGGGCATCTAAAGGTGTAGGAAGAGGTGCCTTGATAATGGTGTATCACAAGGGGGATCTTTGAGTTCATAGGAGTAAATGCAGGGTGAGGCTGAGAAGTTTCAAACAGAGTTACTGTTGAGGAAAATTTTCAAACAAAAAGGGCTAAGGTTATGTGCAAAGCTTATTCAAAAAGGGCAAAGGTTATGTGGAGATGTGTAAGGGCTGCAGTTTGTTGGACTGTTTGGGAGGAGAGAAATTCGCAGATTTTTCTAGACAAAGAAAGAAGCTTGGAAGTAATATTGGAGATTATTCACATAAGGGTGATACATTGGTTAAAAACTTTGGAGCTGTTTGCTGAGTTCTCAGTTGATGTGATGCCAAGGAATTGGAAGGAAATTGCAGAATCAACTTCAAGTAAGAAAGCGTCAAATTCTTGTTGGACCCTTCCACCAAGCGGGTTTATCAAACTGAACTTTGATGGTAGTAGTTTGGGCAATCCAGGGCCCTATGGAATAGGGGGAGTGGTAAGAGATGAAAAAGGGAATACGTTAGCTATGTATTCTGGCCCAATTGGGGTGGGAGACTCCTTGAGGGCTGAGATATTAGGAGCTCTGTGAAGGAGTACAAAGGGTCAAAGACATGCATTTCAAGAAATTGATCATAGAAGGTGATTCTGAAATTGTAGTGAACTGGTTAAAAGAGGACAACTCCAAGCTCTGGAACTACAACAATGAAAAGAGGAAATTTAAGTGGCTGAGTAAGGACATGGAAGTTAGATGTACATGGAAAAAGTGGCTGAATAGACCGAGCAGTTTCAAGGAGATGACGGTTCTTTCGTTCAGCCACCCCATTTTGTTGAGGAGTGGATGCACATGAAGTTTGATGAATGATGCCATGCTGTTCTAAATACTGTTGAAAGGAAGTAAGA